GGAGTATAGACATTTTTACTATGTTGATTCTACCAATCCATGAGCATGGGAGATCTCTCCACTTTCTATAGTCTTCCTCAATCTCTTTCTTCAGAAGTGTATAGTTTTCCTTATAGAGGTCATTCACATCTTTTGTTAGGTTTACACCTAGGTATTTGATTTTTTTTGAGGCTATTGTAAATGGAATTGTTTTCATATATTCTTTCTCAGTTTGTTCATTATTAGTGTATAGAAATGCTAATGATTTTTCAATGTTGATTTTATATCCTGCTACCTTGTTGTAGCTATTGATGGTGTCTAAGAGCTTCTGAGTAGAGTTTTTTGGGTCTTTAAAGTATAGGATTCATGTCGTCGAACTATGTTGAATAGGAGTGGAGATAGTGGGCATCCTTGTCTAGCTCCTGATTTTAGAGGGAATGGTTTCAGTTTTTCTCCGTTAAGTGTAATGCTGGCTGTAGGTTTGTCGTATATAGCTTTTATAATGTTGAGGTACTTTCCTTCTATTCCTAGTTTTCTTAGAGCTTTTATCACGAAATCGTGTTGGATCTTATCAAAGGCTTTTTCTGCATCTATTGAGATGATCAAGTGGTTTTTGTCTTTGCGTCTGTTAATGTGGTTTATCACGTTTATTGATTTTCATATGTTGAACCACCCCTGCATTCTTGGGATGAAGCCTACTTGGTTGTGGTGAATAATCTTTTTGATGTGTTGTTGAATTCGGTTTGCAATTATTTTATTGAGGATTTTTGCATCAATGTTCATTAAGGAGATTGGTCTATAGTTCTCCTTTTTGGAGGTGTCTTTGCCTGGTTTTGGGATAAGTGTAATACTGGCTTCATAAAATGTGTTAGGCAGTTTTCCTTCCCTTTCTATTTCATGGAACAGTTTAAGGAGGGTTGGTATCAATTCTTCTTTAAAGGTCTGATAGAATTCAGCAGAGAATCCATCAGGTCCTGGACTTTTCTTTTTGGGGAGACTCTTGATTGCTGCTTCAATTTCTTTTTATGTTAGAGATCTATTCAGGTGATTAATTTCCTCTTGGTTCAGTTTTGATGCTCATATGTATCTAGAAATCTGTCCATTTCTTTAAGATTTTCAAATTTATTTGAATATAGGTTCTCGAAGTAGTCTCTGATGATTTCCTGGACTTCCATGGTGTTTGTTGTTATCTCCCCTTTTGCATTCCTGATTCTACTAATTTGGGTTTTTTCTCTCCTCATTTAAGTCAGGTTTGCCAGGGGTCTATCGATCTTGTTTATTTTTTCAAAGAACCAACTTTTTGTTTCATTAATTCTTTATATGGTTTTTTTGGTTTCTATTTCGTTGATTTCAGCTCTTATTTTTATGATTTCTCTCCTTCTATTTGTTTTGGGATTTGCTTGTTCTTGGTTTTCTAGGAGTTTGAGATGTATCATTAGGTCATTGATTTGGGATCTTTCAGTCTTTTTAATATATGCACTCATTTCCCACCTTATTTTTGACAAAGATGCCAAAAATATATGATAGAGAAAAGACTGCTTCTTCAACAAATGTTGCTGGGAAAAGTGTTTATCCATCTGCAAGAAACTGAAACTATATTCATGTCTATCACCCTGTACTAGTATCAACTCAAAATGGATCAAGGATCTTAATATCAGACCCGAAACTCTGAAGTTAGTACAGGAAGGAGCAGGAAACACTTTGGAAATAATAGGTATAGGCAGGGACTTCCTCAATAGAACTCCAGAAGCTCAGCAACTAAGAGAAAGGATGAACAAATGAGAATAGTTATTCTCAAAAAGATAGAAAAATAAGTGTTGGTGAGGATGTAGAGAAAATATAATCCTTGTACTTGTTGGTAGAGATGTAAATTGGTCCAGAGATGGAGAATGTCTGTATAGAGGTTCCTTGAAAATTTAAAAACAAGTGTTGGGACGTAGCTTAATGGTAGAGCACATGCTTAGCATGTGTTGACACCTTGGGTTTTAATCTCAGCTCCCTCAACAACAACAAAAACCCTAAGGATAGAACTACCACATGATCCCTTGTCAAAGAGATGTCCAAACTCTCATGTTTATAGGAACACTATTCACAATAGGCAAGTTACAGAAACAATCAACTGAAGAGTCTATCAACAAATGAATAGATGAACGAAATGTCATATATTCACACAAAGGAATACTATTCAGCCTTTACAAAGAAGGAAATTCTGTCATTTGTGACAACACACATGGAATTGAAGAATATTATACTAAATGAAAAAAGTTAGGCACAGGCAAATACCATAAGATCTCTCTTACATGTGGAATCAAAACCAATCAAACTCATGGCAGCAGAGAGTGGAATGATTCCAGAGGTTGGTGTTGGGTAGAACAGAAAATGGAGGATGCTCAAGGGGTACAAAACCTTAGTCAGAGAGAAGACTATGGTTTTTAATCTACTTCACATTGTGGTGAATATGGTTAATAATATTGAATTGTACATTTTAAAATTGCTAAGACCATAAATTTATAATGTATTCACCATGAAAAATAAGGTTTTCAGGTGATGTATATGTTAATTAGCTTGGTTTAATTATTCCATGCTGTATTCAGAAATCATAGCATAACTTCATACCCCGTCAATATATACAATTATAAATTATCAATTTACAGTAAGGTAAAATTTAAAAAGAAATTTTGTCTAGTCCAAATTGAAATGTGTTCTAAATATGAAATTTATACTGAATTTCAAAGGCTTAGTACAAAAAAGGAAAATAAAACATCCAAATAAAATTGTAAATTATGAAATGATAATATTTGAATATACTAGCTAAATTATATCAATAATTACCCAAAAGAAATTAATAAAATTAATTTTACCCATTTTTAAATGTCACTACTGGGAAATCTACAATGAAGTGGCCACACTGTATGTTTATGAACAGTCCTGAAAATACTGGCATAAGACATGGCTGTCTTCTTCCTCTAAGGTATCACTGAGCAATCTGCTTTGGATTTGCCGAATAATTCACTCAACATTTTACATGTTCACTTTAGAGAATATGTGTATTTCTGCCTTTGAGTTTGGTGAGAACCAGGCACAGAGTTCCCCTCTGTGTCACTGATGCTGGATTTTTAAGGATTCACTAATTACAACCTAACTTATGTAACAGGGACTTTGTGACTCCATCTTCTGCTGGAAAGTAGCAGGGAAGAGCACTCCAGAGTCCATATTCAGGTATAATAAGTTCAAGGAGAACAAAGTTCCACAGCAATTAAAATGAAACACTAATCTCCAAATCTTAAAATCTTTTTTGGAACATACTGTCAGAGTCTTAGGAAAATCTTAAAATAAGACAATAGGTTGAAAACTAAGAAAAGCCAAAGTTTTGAGTTCTGAACCTTCACAAGACAGGTAAATTGAAACTTATGTTTTGAGTTTTTTTGTACTATAAGGTTTTTTTTAATTTAACACATTTAGTTAGTTAGAATATCTTATATTACTTCTTTTGATATTCTGAAGTTGCTAGAAGGTTTCACCTATGATCAGCAAAGATAAATTATATTAACTGGCCTTCTTAGTTGCCCAGAGGATATTGGTTTACAGTGCAAGGTTTATGCCTAAGTGACCTTGTTTTTCTCTTTGAAATGATAGATATGGTTGAAATTGACACCACTTATAAGTACATGCTATATTTCTAAAACTCTGAGGCAAGAGTTCTTTTGATGGAAGAACATCAAGCTATTTCATAATAAATGAATATTTGTATTTATTTTCATGTGTTTCTAAATAATATAAAATTGGTGGATATAATACCAATAATAACAAACCTCTACTGAGAGCTCCTATGTAAAGATTATTATTAATTTATTGCAGTTTGTGAGATGGATGCTATTACTATGCCAGTTTTACCAATGAGATCCTCAAGTTCAAAGTGTCAGAGTTGGCTAGGGCCATGCCTCTGTTAGGGGTAGCACATGGTGTGTAGGATTCTAAAGTCCTTTTATGACTTGTCTTCACTTTGGGAAATAAGAAAAACACATTTTAGCTAGAGATAAGGAAAATTTTTTAAATTCAGAGTTGTGGAGAGATGAGTGAGGCTGCCTTAGTGAGCTGTAAGTTTCCCTCACAAAGAAGATCATATGGAGGAGGGTGAATATGATGGAAATATTATGTACTTATCTATGAAAATGAAAAATGAGACAAGTTGAAACTATTCCAGGAATGGGGGAAGGGGAGATAAAGGAGAATGATGGGGGGAGGAGTATATTCAACTATGATATATTGTAAGAACTTTGGTAAATATCCCAATGTACCCCAAGTACAATAATTAATAGATTGATTGATTGATCGATTGATCATGTGGAGCCAAGGGTGCTACAGAGACAGACATCTAAAGGTAGTTGTAAGGATCTTTCTATCACTGAGATTAAATCAATGTCTTTGTACCTCAGTTTTTTCACCAACAGAAAAGAAGAAATGTTAATTATAATATTAATAATAATAGAAAGGCTGTTGCTAAATTTCAAAAAGGCATTAGCACTAGTCATGGGCAAATGTGTCCATTTTTTTCACGAAAATCAAATAAATTGTTCTCTGAAGTCCTCAATTAAAAATTAAAATAAGTTCACGTTCAACCTTATTAATATTTGCATGCTTTAAGCAATTATCAACTAGCCCAAATTCATCAACTACAAGCATAAGTTAAGAAATAGTAAATAGTTGGCAGTCTATAGGCTAGATTCTGATGCTGCAGAAATTCCATTCAGCCCCTGATCATTACTTATCTCAGGACTTAAACAGTAACCTTAATTGTATTCTTTGAACACCAAGTTTCTGCACCACCTCCCACCTCCATCCCATACTTAATTAGCTGGGCAGGTCTTATAACAAATATCCACTCAGAAGCACTGGGTGGTAGAAATGTTGTTGACAATTAAACACCACAATAGCAGGGAGCCTGTTTCAGGAGCCGCAGAGTGGTCTTGCCCCAGCCGGACGTCTTGCCACACACCCACAGACCCTCTATTGTGCTGCGTATGGCTGCTCAGAGGGACACTTGTTGGCTGGAGAAGGGACCAACTGCAATGAGAGAAAAGGCCAAACCTTGCAAAGAGATCACGCATTGTGGACTTGGGAAAATATCCAGTGGGTAGAAGTGAAAGAGGAGTGAATGGACCCAAGAAAAAGAGAAGTGGATGGGCAGGAAAATCAATCATCAAATAGACATAGCCTTTCTATTTTCTTAGTGCAACCAGCCAGCCAAAATGAGTTCACCAATCTTATGCCAAATAATGATTGGAAAATTGCAATATATAAATAATAGCTTGATTCATATTCCATTTGGTTTAGAGAAAGTTCACTGATTTCTTTAAGGTTTTTAAGAAAATTGTGGATAAGTCATGCCACCTCCCTGGGTCTCAGTTTCTTCATTTTTAAAATAAGGAGATTGAAAGGGATCCCATTCTGGGATCAAACAAATAGAAATAGGGTTCCCAGAACAATTTCTAAGCTGTCAAAAGGCCTACCCTATAATACTTTTACTCGAGATAAAATTACTGAGTCTAATATAATTATCATATTCACTTGCTTCTGCTTAAAATAAATTAACCCAGTTAGGTGATTATCTCCTCCAAACAGATGCCTCTATTGGCAGTTAAATAGGTTATTAATAATAGGGAAAAACATGATTACTTTATAAGTCAGCTGGTTTGTAGCAAAAAAAAAACCTTTCAAAAGAGAGTGTTTTATTAAGCTATTAAAAATCTGTAGGAAAAAACATAAAGATTGACTTGGTGAAATGGTTGGAAGCCACAAGCTCAGCCAGTGCTTCTCAACTTGGCCATGCAATTACCTCTAACAACAGAGGCAAGTGAATGGAGTCCCTGGGCCACCTGGGGACTGAACCAAAAAAAAGCAGAGATTGACAAACAGTTTCTCTTTAAAAAAAAATTTTTTTTTAGAAAAGTTTTCCATTCTCTGCTATAATAAACGTGTTTATCTCGAGTTTCTAAATGATATGCTTTCATCAAATAGACACAGGCACTAGCACTGTGGCTTCAGAAATGCCACCCCACCCACCATCACTAACATATCACACTGGAGATGCAGCATCCCAGTTTGAGGAGCACACGAAAGTAAATAATCTTGGAACTCTCCTCTAGCTGTAAAAGGCTATGGAGTGCCTTTGTTAGTCTCTGAGGGGTGAAATGTTTTATGGTAAAGAAGTGGAATCCCTTAACTATGACAACTCAAATTGCATCAAGTCTAAAGCCCAGGAGGAAAGGGAAGGTGCAAAAACAAAATGTGTTATGCTAGGGAAAGCAGGAAAAATGTCGAGGGGAGCCCAGTATAACTCAATTAGGTTGAAGCTGTCCATCTGAAATGCCACCTGGAATTCACACCAGCAATAACTGTTGTGGATATAAAAATTAATAGGGGGGATTTCATAGTATTAGAAAAATTTATTTTTATAAATCATGTGTCTATCACCCAAGTGTTGACACATGAATGCAATTCAAACATCAGACTTACAATAAAAGGTTCACTGAATAACTTAACAAGGACAATCCCCCCATTTTCTCTATAAATTGGAGTAGAAGAAGGAGGGGGACAGTGGGTAAGGGCACAGTTACTGGGTCAATTAATCAACCTGAAAACTGTGACACAAACTCTGACGCCTAACCTCTGTCTAAAAATACACAAATGTATACGAATTTGTTTTAAACTGTCAATGCCTATATTTAGGACCTTCCCAGCAAGGCTATAATGAGACTGTGTTTGAGGGTTTCAGTCATAGCAGACTCTACCATTAATCTGAAGTTAGTTAAATTAACAGCATTTAGTACTGACTTGTCAATCTCACTACTCCAGGAAATTGCACCTTCAGGCTACTAATATTGCCAATTTTTCCACTGGAGTGTGTGCCCAAGTGTGTGTGTGTGTGTGTGTGTGTGTGTGTGTGTGTGTGTGTGTTCTCCAGAACCTCCACATTCACACACCATCATTGCTTCCCTACGTCCACAGCACTTATATTATCATTTATTCTGGCCTCCTTTAGCCTTCCCGGGGGATTCTGCATAGTGTAGCTGCTCAGTGAAAGAGTTTTTTAGCTTTATATTTATTTGTTTATTTTTCTGTCATGGCTCATGACTGAGGCTTTTAAAAAAAAGTGTGACAGTGTTTAGAGTACATGATTGACTGCTATAACAACATTCATTAACCATGACAAATCTGTAGCAAAACATAGTCCTGAGTGTTCTAAACAGCAACTTCAAGAAGAAAGAAGAAAGAAAGAAAAAGAAAAAAGACTCGACTAATTTTTCATTGACCTCATCTGTAAATAAATTTAGACGGATGGTGTGTGGGGGCAATAATAAATTAGTATTCATTTCCTGTAATTAATGCAAACATGCCTATGAACACAGAGAATATGAATATATAACCACCTAATTTCCATTTCAAAATACACCTAACAAATTTTCACTTGAGTTATCTTCGTAATATTTTTCCCCTTAATTACAAAGAATGAAATGGATAGACTTCTTTCCCACTCCCAGGGTGAAATACTGTTTTGGTGGCAAGGCGTGTCAAACACATTTCAGCAACCAGCTCTAGATCTTGATTCTGATTTATTTCATTGCTTACCTGAGTCACCACATTTCCATAGTGAGGCTGTCTTCTGTCTTACCACCAAGCAAGAGGGGCTGTTCTGCAGTGATCAGGTAACCACCTAACCCAGACCCTCACCTGCATAGGAACAATGAGCAGACAGACCACAGGGAACAACCACATAGCCTAGCACAAGACTGGGCAAGTTCTACTTCTGACGAACATTCAATCACACAAGGATGGATTGGGTAAACAATATGATGTAAATCAAATGAAGATTATTATGCATCAAGTAAAATATAAATATAATATGTATACATAAATATATACTGCCTCACCTGGCAAGAGGAGCTAGTATACCTTAACCTCTTGGGCATAGGGATCACTGGAGAAAATTCATTCCTATAATCAGACCACAATCAAAGATCAAATTGCTCATAGATTAATGTGTGATCACAGTCAAGTGATCCAGCCATCAGAACTCACTAGCTCAACTGTGGCACCAGCAGTGGGACCCCTTGTTAGCAATAAACACATTGATTAATAGTAACAAAATTTACCCCTAAGACACACATGCAAAAACTTCTATAGCTAGGAAGAAGGTATAAGAGCAGAAAATTTGACTCTGATTCTACCAAAAACAAACAAACAAAAAAAAAAAAACCTTTGGCACATGCAAACTGCCTCATGGATAATTTTCCTAGGGCCTTCCTGGCCCTATAGGGCTTTTGCCCTCTAAGCGTCATGGAAACAAATCTGTGTGATTATTATTAGCTGTGCCAGACAGCTAATTGGGATGCATGTGACTAGAAGGTCAGAAAGCAATAGGAATATCTTAATTTGATGAATTTACCACAAAATCTGGTTGTAAATGTCACTAATTAGGCCTTATCATAAAAAGATAGTTGCTAATGAATCCATATCACACTTTCTCCAGGCATATTTAAGCCCATAGTGGACTCTCAGCTCCATACTGCCATTGTAGCAACATTCTCCAGAAAGAGAAATGGAGTCACATTTCTTTCCCCTTAGTTTTCAGCCTGGAAAGTCGAGCGATGCACCTCAACACACTAGTCCAAGAGGCCCAGGACAGGGTGAGTGAACTGTCTGCTCAGGTGGAGAATGAAGGATTCACCCTGGACAACACAGAGAAAGAGAAACAGCTGAAAGCTTGGGAATGGAGATATCGGCTCTACAGACGCATGAAAACAGGCTTTGAACATGCCAGTGAGTATATGCAGAGAACTTCTACATTTAACTAGACTGAACTTTGGTTTGAGACAGCCAGTCCTGCCTTTACTGACTCTTTTTTTCATTTTCCCTGCAATTCTACAGGGTCTTGGATGCTGTTGTCAGCCTGTTTGGAGCAAGGGCTCTGGGAGGCTATAAAAGAGTCTTTTGTCTTGCTTGATTTTCTGGCTCCTGATAGGTTCTCTGACCACAGCCATGAGACTTCAGTACTTCTGGCCTCCCTCCACCACGTCACACTCATCTAGCACTCCCCAACTGCTATGCCCTAATGCCTAATGCCTAATGACTTGGATGGTCCAATGTCCTAAGTGGCTATATTTTGGGATGTGAAGGTGGAAAAATATTTGTTTGCCTATTTGTCCAGTTTTGGCTTCAAGCTCAAGTTTAAGGTGTTTTCAACTCTCTACTGCCTTTTTTATAGAAAGCAATAAACTGAACTTCAATTAATATAAGCAACAGAGCAGGACAGTCAATCAGCCCATGAATTATGCTTTTGTCTACATTTCCATTCTCTTTACCAATTCTTTTTGTTAGTTTAAGGAAAACCATTTCTGAATAATATTCATTAGCAGTAGAAACAACTGCAGAAAGCAGCTCTGATATAAAAGCAAAACATATGACTCGAACACTTGTGAAGTATTAACTTCTTACTCTAGAAGATTTTATTTAGACAACGAAAAAATTAGACTTGAAATTTTAAATCCAAGGGAAAAGTCGGTTCAATCATTTGAAATTCTCTACTTCTGCTTCAGAAAATTTCTAAACGAATGAACTGACTATGTCACAGACAAAGACCAAAGGCAGCAAAAATTGTTTTCTTAAGTACCACTGTACATTAAATGCCAAATCTAGACCCAGTCTTTTCTCCGAAGAAAAGACTTGGGCCACGTTGGTGAAAGGTGGCTTTCACCATCTACAATCTCAGCAATGCTGGCACATGGATTTTGACAAAGAGACTCCACAATTGCTTTAACAAGTACATTTGCTACTGTGCCTTATTTAGAACAGACTCATTCTTGAAACAGGCATATTTTGGGGCTTGATGCCATTTTGTTAATAATTTTCTAAATTGGCAAACATTTTCTGAGTGTTCAGGAATACCAAAAACCATTAGTCCTTTAAAATCTGAAGGAAGTGATAGGACATCAGTCTATCCAGTTTTCCTTAGACAACACTACTCCAGTGGAAGAGGAGGCAGCCTGAGAGCAGAGGGAGCTAGAATTCCATCCTGGGAAGGGCCCTGCCTTAGGTACCAAAAGTCCTGGCTTTTCTCATGGCTGTGTGTCTTCACCATATTCTTGAGCAAGCGATTTGGCCATTTAGAATGGCAGTTTCCTCAACATCAAAGTGGAGGCACTTATTATTTATCTTCCAGCCCCCAACAGGGGAGGCGCCAGTCTCAAAGAAATGGTTTATATGGATGTACCTTCTGCAATGTAAGGGTTTCTATCTGCCTGATGTCACTTCCTGCCCTCTTTTTGCTGGTCCAACCCAACCTCATATTATGTTTCCAGGACACTTGGGGAGGGCTTCACTGGTTTTATTTACCCCTACAGAAGATGTTCTAATGTTCAAAGAAGACCAAGATGGCAACAAATAAGAGCTATTGAGCCTTTTAAATGAAAATGCTCAAAAGTTAAACTTACCAGGCTGTACAAACAAATGGTTCCATAGTGTGTGTTTCAGGGTATCCTTTGAAGAGAAAGGGACATTTTTTTGAAAAGGAATTACAAAGCTGAGATCCTTGTGCTTTGCCTTCTGCCCCAGGAGCCCCCGAGGTGCCAACCAATGCCTGTCTCATGATAACCAGCAGCACGTCACTCACTGTCAGCTTCCAGGAGCCTCTCAGCGTCAATGCAGCTGTAGTGACGAGGTATAAAGGTACTGCACTCCCCATCTTTTCTCCTTGCTCCTTCCTAGAAAGGAATCTGTGGCTTGAGTATCAATTGTACCTTTTATGTGTCTTTGATTTTCCTGTTGATAGGATTGTTTCCATCCCATTTGTTTTGGAACTGAAATACATACTCATGTGAAGTAACAATAAGGTGACTGAGAATAAATCACAGAAAGGATGCCATTCCAAGCTCCTCAGTGAATATGCCATTCATATTTTCAGAGGTTCTGTTCTGTGTAGAGCATAGGGTTGGGACATGGGATATACTGGAAATCAGACCTGATCCAAGAAGCTGAAAGGCTAGAATATGGAATATAAATGGGAATCAGAAGAAATGATGACTATAACAATACCAGATGAAGTGCATTGGGCTCAGAAAAAAGAACAAGGGGATGGCACAATGGTGGTGGGATCAGGAAAGGCCCCAGGATAAAGGTGGCATTTGGGCCTCCCTTTGCAGGACAGACATGAGTTAGACTGAAAGCTATTGGGGGAATGTATATCTATCATGGAGAGAATAAGAAGCACAAAACAAAAAAAAAAAAACAAGAAAATATCAGGACATGTAGAGAAGAATAAGGGAAACTGTTAAGGGAATAGAAAGGAACATGGCTCTTCCAGAGCATGGGTTCATAAGAATGTGCAGCAAATATAAAATTAGAGTGAAATTAAGATCAGTGGTGGAGGGGTCCTTATAGATAAGGACAAGCTCTCAGTAGACATTTGAAAGTTGGAAGCGTCAATATTGTGGATGACGCAGTGCATGAGATATAGACTTAGAGTAAGGAAAATGAATTAGCAAGGTGTTCAAGAGACAGCGTGACAGCCTGAGCTGCCTACAGTAGCAGAACTGGGAAAGGAGAGGGAGAACCCAGAGGAGGAAGACATGATAGGGCACAATGATGACAGCCGGTGCTTATGATGCACCTGCTTTGCACCAAGCACTGCTTAAACTTGTCTGTATTAACTCCAGTCAGTCTTCACAGCTAGTTCAGATGAAAAAACTGAGGGGATGAAAGATTAAAAAATTAGTCGAAAGACTCACAACATAGTCCAAGTCAAAACTGTGGGGTTGAAAAAGGAAAGAGATCTGTTTTCCTGATTTACAAAGCCATATTCCCAAATACCCTAACAAAGCTCCCCATGCCTTACCCAAGGTGCCAGGCCACAGGCAGACTCCATGTGTTCAAGCCACTACTGCTCTCTCTACTTGCAAAAGGAGGCAAAAGTAGAGCACCTTCCATTCTCTTTCTCAGAGTCTCTTCTCACAGTACCTTGTGTGTTTCTGCAGCCATTGTTCTGCCTGTACCCTATAGCTATCTGTGTATTTGGAATTCTCCAGGTAACTCTACTCTGTAATACCTTAGGTAAAGACAGGGTCAACCTGGTTATCACCGGGTTTCTGTATCAAAGAGAAGGCAGCCTTTGGGTGCTAACAACAGCACATAGACAAAGCCACTCAGGATGGTCTCCTATCACCATCCTTTTGCAGAAGTTCTAATACTTCCTCTTGGTCATCTCATCTGGCAAGACTGACATCTAAAACAAGTATTTGCAGACAGTGTTAGATGTGGTCATTTTCCTTTTTTTCTCCTTTTCTAGTTCAAGATTTTGATGAAAGGTTTCATCAATGCTGTCCAGTTTGACATCTCCTTCTTACATTTGATTAGTGAGCTATCAGAAGCTAATTTATCCAGACTGTTGGTTATTTAATACTTGACCATAATGCCAACAAATTCTATCAGCATTCACATATTAACACTTCTTATCTCAGGAGACTTGGATTTAGGTTAGGTTGAAACAAAAGGTCACAGTGGTTTCTGTTCGTGACTGGAGAGCATTAATTCAGCATTATAAATAGAATTGTCTGCGGCATTATGAAGTAGCTTTCTTTGTGTTAATTTCTAAGGGCATAAATGAAGTCCTTAACCTGACCACTCTCAAGGGTTATTCAAAACAGCTGGCAGCCTACTGTACCCACAGGGACTACAGGACAATTTTTAATTCAGGGGTTGAAGTAGTTATTTCATTGTGGAAATATTAGCAAAATTGCCCTGAGACAAGCCTAATTATTTTGTTTGCTTTTAAAAAAAATGAAGAAGAAACAACTGAGAAATCCACAGAATGAAATGATAGTTATCTAATGGGTTAGGGGGAAAGCTTAACCCTGCAGTATTTGGGGTTTGGCAAAAAAAAAAAAAAAAAAAAATCTCACTCTCCTCTCCAGAATTTCTGGGTTCAGCAAAACCTCAAGCCTATTTTGACAACTGAACGTTTTCCCCTCGTGCTTAAGTCAGTGCATATTTGCAAGAAAATCTGGATCCTTCTGTTTCTCATTTGTATAACTCAACTTATCAGCATATGTTTTAAGAGTTAGTTGATGTACAGAAATCTTTTAAGAACATCTCCTTGTAGGTCTTTCTTCCAGCTCCAGGACCATGTACCAGGCCACTGCCATCACAATTTAGAGATTAAAGGTGTCAGTTATAGCTTCAAACCCAGGAAGCAGTTTCAGTGAGATTTTTCTATCTGCATTTGCCCTTAATACAATAAAATGGGCATGTTTCTAGATATTTTCTCCTTGGTTTCAAAGAGCGCTTGCATCTTTCAATCTCATCTGCCCAATTTCATGGCTTCCAGAGAAAACCTAGAGTTATTTCTGAAGCTTTGATGCTTTGGACTACTGCCAGATGTTGTTTTGTATTTTCTCCTCCTAACCTTGGGTAACCTCCCTGAAGTGCTCATTTGCAGATTATATGTTATTTCTCTGCAGGCCCAAAGCAGAAAACATTTTCAAATGTTATTTTAAAGGACTCAGAGTGGGTAGGGGGTATCGTGTAACAGGTGCAGTGCAGCTTCTGTCTTCCAATCAGGCAATAAAATATTTTCCAGCTTTTCTTCAAAAGAGGGGCTTCAAGTGGTGACACCTTTGGGGTTTGCTAATTATGAGATGCTGCAGTTTGTGTAGGCACTGCTTCTAGACATGCCCTTCCCGACTCTCCTCCTGCCTCATTTCTTGATGCATTAGAAACCACTCTTATGGTGGTGCCACCTATAATCCCAGCACTCTGGAGACAGGGGCAAGAGGATCAAAAGCTCCAGGTCAGCCTGGACTACATAATAAGAACCTGTCTCAAAAAGAAAAAAAAAAAAAAAACAGGAAAGGGGTTGGGTTTATAGCTCAGTGGTAGAATGCTTGCCTAACATATGCAAGGCTCTGGGTGATCCCCAGTACCACAGAAAACAAAGAACAAAAACAACCAAAAAAAAAAAAAAACCCAATTCTCTACTTTAAAGGCCAATTGCTTGACTGCTATCTTCATTTGATCCTATTTTTTAAAATAAGAAAGCATTTCTCCTTGCAGAGATCAGTATCACCTTTCAGAAGCTAGGTTGGCCTCTCCCTACCACCACCTCCCAATTCTTTTTCAGGAGAGGAGGTAAAGAATTCCAGGGAGATGAAGGTGGCCATTTCAGTTTCCAGGAGGGAAGAGCCCACCATATGTATATGAAAATGCTCAGGGCCAATCATTTAAATTGATAGTGTCAACTTGATCATAACTTGATGAACATGACTGGGGCTAGCTCTCCCTAAGGCTGGAGAAAGCCCTGACTTCAAAGAGCAGATTTATACTTTTTACCCCTTCTATTATTTTTTCCTACTAAATCTTATGGTTTTGAGGACATTTGTCTACCAAAAGAAAGCATTACATTAAAGAATATAATTATCTTCTATACATACATAATTAAGAACTAATTTAATCACAAGCATAAAGTAGCTATTCTCACTACAAGGTTGACATGATATAACCTCATGAAGCAAAAGATTTATAACTTTATTTAGCCTGTTTGGGTTCAGAGAGAAAAAGATGAGGCCAAAGGTTTACAGATGATAGCAAAAAAAAAAAGAAGGGCAAAAAAATGTTATTTCCAGAGAGCCCAAAGCTCAATGAATTAACATTTTTTTTTGCATGTGGGTGAAAACATGAAAATGAGTTGAGTGACTGAAGGTATGTATGTCGAGTGAGAGTGAGAGAATGGGAGAAGTAAAAGGTCACTAAGTGCAAGAGTCAGTTGTCAGGATCCAGGCAATTTATTCTCCAATCTCGTGAAACACCTTGAAACCTTTTTTTAATAGGCCATGTTGTAAAGAGCAGCTCTCTTTTATTTTGTATTTCATCATTAAAAAAATTTAGCCCTCAAACAATGAATAGTGTTTTAGCCCTGAAACAGTGACTAGTTATATAACAAAAAAAGTCAGTTCTCCCTCACTCTTTCCCCCAATCTCACGTGCCTACCATGCAGTTCATCCCTGTAATGAGTTTGATGTATGCCTTTATGGATTCTTTCTTGATGCATCAGCAATACAGGCATACAGCCATATATGGCATAACAACTATGTTTCAGTCAACAACAAACTGCATAAACCATGGGGGTCAGGAAGCAAAAGAAAAAAAGTGGAGAGACCAGGGTTCTAACAGCCTCTTCAAAAGCACATACATCCATTGACATCACTTCCTTCTACTAGGCCTCACCTCCTAAAGGTGTCACTATTCCCACTAGCACCACAGACTGGTGAGCAAGCTTATAGAGCATAAGCCTTTAGGGAATAGTTAAGATTCAAACTATTAACACAAACCACTTTCCTAAACTGACAATTGGATTTTTCAACTCAGTGATATTTTTGCAGTTCATGATATAATACATCTCTTTTCCCATGCCAGTGTATTTGGATCTTCTCCATTCTGCTTAATAGTTGTATAACATTAGTAGTTCATAGATCAAAATATAATTATTCTCCTACTAATAGATATGGGCTGTTTTTAATTTTTTCTATTATGCAGTGTTATAATTCTTACGTTCATATGTACCTCTATCTTACCAGTAAGAATATTTTTTCTGTATTGGTTAATTAGAAGTGGAAAGGTCTTTGCATTCACCCACTCTGTCACTGATGTGTCTACACCTGTGCTAATATCACAAAATA